GAGGGTAGGAGGGCAAGAGAGAGAGAGAGAGAGAAACACCATTGATGAGAGAGAATCACTGATTGGCTGCCTCCTTCGCACCCTCCACTGGGGATCAAGCCCACAGCCCCGGCATGTACCCTGACTGGGAATCAAACTGTGACCTTCTGGTTCATAGGTCGATGCTCAACCACTGAGCCACGCTGGCTGGGCCATAAATCTTTTGATTGGAGCATTTAATCCATTTGCATTTAAAGTAATTGTTGATGGATGTGTATTTATTGCCATTTTATTCATATTTTATTTTTTCTCCCTCTTCTTAAAGAAGAACCTTTAACATTTCTTGTGAAACGGGTTTGGTGGTGATGAACTCCTTTTGCTTTTTCTTGCCTGGGAAGCTCTATCCTTAGTTCAAAATCAGCATTGGAGTCTGGCCAACAGCTGTATAAGGCCTGAGAAATCATTTGGTCTGGCCCTGCCAAGGCATTAGGGGTGAGTTAATTAAATGTTTGACCAAATATAGCAGGCTAATTTTTTTTTTAACTAGGCTAATTTTTAAGTTGATAATTTTGTATGGCCCAAGAATGATGTTATAAATATCAAAATGGCCTTGGCAGAAAAAAAGTTCCCCATGTTCTAAATGATAGCTTTGCTGGCTAGCGTAATCTAGTTATAAGTCCTTGCTATTTATCACTTTGAATATTTTATGCCAATCTCTTCTGGTTTGCAAAGATTCTGTTGAGAAATCAGCTGACAGTCTTGTGGGAGCTCCCTTGTAGGTAACTGACCAATTCTTCCTTGCTGCCTTTAAGATTCTCTTTTTATCTTTTTTAAAAAATATATATTTTATTGATTTTTTACAGAGAGGAAGGGAGAGGGATAGAGAGTTAGAAACATAGATGAGAGAGAAACATCAATCAGCTGCCTCCTGCACACCTCCTACTGGGGATGTGCCCTCAACCGAACCCGGTACCCTTAAGTCCGTAGGCCGATGCTCTATCCACTGAGCCAAACCGGCTAGGGTGATTCTCTTTTTATCTTTAACCTTAGCCTTTTTTATCATGGTGGGGTGGCCTGCTGTCATAGGTGTCTTTTAGGACCCAGTGGTGCAGTGTCTTTCATCTCCTGAGCTGGGTACTCTAGGAATGTCTCTTGTGTGGGTTATTTGGGCCTTCCTATTGTAGTTGAGTCTTGATTGCTGTTGGCCTGTTCATGGGTCGGATCAACCCTTAAGCTGGCTGACTGAGGCTCAACACTAAGCACAGTGTGCAAGCTGCTGTGCAGGTGCAGTCTCGAGGTGTCTTGTTGGGCTCAGTGGCACAGTCTTTCAGATCATCTGTGTTCCTTGGTCCAGGAATGTTAATGGGTTATGTGCACACTCCCCTGTTGTAGTTGTGACTTGATGAATGCTGTTGGCCCTTTCATGGGTGGAGTTAACTCTTCAGCCTGGGTGGCTATAAAGATAAACCGCAATCACCGTGTATGAGATGCTGTGCAGGGGCTGCCCTCTCAGGTGGAGTTGTTCCCAACAGCATCTGGTGCCTGCTGGAATCTTCCTTTGGGTGTGTCATGTTTGTGGCTAGTTGGGTTGAGCTTTGGTGTGGTCTGAAGCCCACCACTGTTTTTGTTGGTTCTGGGTCCACTTGGTTGGGGTTCAGGTACAGGTCGCTGTCAGATGTTGTGTGTAACTGGTTTTGGGCTACCTGTCTGGAGCTACCACACTGTTTACTGTTTGTGTGTGTATCAACTTGACCTGAGTGTGCATGGAGGGGCCATTCTGTGTCGATGGGTTGGCTTGCTGGAG